CTCAAAGCCCCAGTTTCGCCGGGTTTTCCCCCAAAAGCTGCGCGTGTTTCTGCTCCCCTCCCCAGGGGAAGCGTGACCGGGGCTGGGTGAGTGGGTTGGGGTAGCGGCGCCTTTACTGGGCTATTACTGGTTTACTACTGGGTTACTCTTTGCTTCCTATGAGGCTGCTGCTAAGATACGACTCAGTAGTGAGGGAGTAGTGCGATGCTGTCAGGGCACAGCTGAGATACTCGCAGGATACCACTGGGATGCTCCTAAGATGCTGTCGGGAGCTTACCGAAACGCTGCCAGGGTGCTCCGCAGGCGGCCCTAAGGCGCTCTCGGGGTGGCACTAAGATACTCTCAGGATGCTCCGTGGATGCTACTGGGGTACTGCAAGAACACAACTAAGATACCAGGGCACTACCAGGATGCTATCAGGATACTACTAAGATAATCCCAGCATCTTCAGGGTACCACCGTCAGGGTACTCTCAGGATACTATGAGAGAGATGGTTAAGATGCGGTCAGCGTAGTAGCGTGGCACTGAGATAATGCCTGGGTGTTACATCGCACTGCCAAGATACTACCAGGATACTACTAAGATAATAGCTGGGTGCCGTTGCACCACTCCTGGGATCCTGTCAGGGTCAAATACTACTGTGATACTACCAGGGCACTGTTGGGATGTAACTGGGATGCTATGGGAATGCTCCTGACGTAGTAGCAGGTTGCTGCTGCCTGTAGTAGCATCGTCACAGCAGTACAGCGTCACAACAATGCTGCGCTGCTCAGTAGCTGCTACAAGGATGCTCTTGGTGTAGCATGAAGGCGCTGCTGTCAGGGTGCTGCTGAGGAGTTACCGGGGTACCGCCTGGGTACCCCAAACGATACCGCTGAGACACTTCCGCAACGCTGCCGAGTATCTCAGATACTACAGGGCCATTACTCAGATTCTACTACAGTAGTATCAGTGTACTACTGTGATAATACTGGTGTATCATGACGCTGCTGAGGTGCTATCAGGACAGTACTCCTTGCTTAGCGGGATGCTGTCGGGATGCCGGCAGGGTATCTGTAGGATACTCCCAAGATACTACGAGGGTGCTAGAAAAAAGGGTGGTAAGATACTTCTGGGATACTATCGGGGCAGGACCCAAATGTCGGGGATCCTCTTGGCAGGGTACTGATGCTCGTATGATACTTCAGGCCACTGCTGAGATGGCGATACAGTGTAAGGCTACTACAAACATACTACCAGTTCTGTAAAAAAGCGTTATGATGCTCCTTATATGCCATCGGGGTAGCAGTAAGATACTTTGGGGCCACTACCACTATCTTCAGGCCTTGTGGCTGCTAGTAAAGTACTACTGTAGTATGTGCTGAAGTGTCGGTATCAGTGTATTTCTGTGGAGACGGGACTAAGATGCTGCTGGGATACTACTAGGATACTACAGAGATGCTGTTGGTGGTGTAACGGCCCTGGCAGCAGCCAAGGGAGGGGGAGCCCTGGTGGTGTAACCTGTGAGTAGCCCGGTGCCTCACGGGCACCCTCTCCCCGCAGCTAAGGCGGCGCATCGGGGTTGAGGAGGATGGAGGCGCCCCTGGTGAGCCTGGAGGAGGAGTTCGAGGAGGGGCCCGGGGACGATGGGGGGACCCCGCAACGCACCGCGGACCCGACGCTGGCCGAGCTGGAGAGCTTCTCGGCCGAGATGATGAGCTTCAAGTCAATGGAGGACCTGGTGCAGGAATTCGACGAGAAGCTCACCGTCTGCTTCCGCAACTACGCTGCTCCCA